ATCTATCTATCTATCTATCTATCTATCTATCTATCTATCTATCTATCTATCTATCTATCTATCTATCTATCTTATCTGCCTATCTACCTATCTACCTATCTACCTATCTACCTATCTATCTATCTCTATCAGCTGTCAGAGATCCATCCCTATATGGATTCTAAATATAGAATTATAGAGTTGGAAGGAACCAAATATTAGGTCATTAAATCCAAGAACTCTGTTCTATGGAGATATCTATTTTGAAGCCATCTCTGGCATATGTCTGTCCAGCCTTTACTTGAGCCTATTCAATGAGGGAAGAGCTACTGTATCTCTGGATATTAGTTTCAAAGCCAAGAAACCTGATCTGACTTTGTCCTCCCCTTCAGGCAGTATCTCCCTTCCTATAACTTCAACCTTTCATTCCTGCATCCTGGAATGGCAATTTACAGTGCATCGACCTCGTTCAGCCAGATGTCCTCTTTGGTATTTGAGGAATGTTATCGTATCCCCTTTTTTGGGTCTTCTCAAGGTCAAATGTTCTAGTTTCCTCAATCCTTCTTTGTGGGAAATAGTTTTGAATTCTCCGCCCTCCTCTGCTGTCTTCTTTGACCATGTTCCAGTTTTCCCTGAACCCTCCTTCAATCTATTATGCCCGGACTTGCCAAACTCTTGTTTTATATATAGGATGATATCATGATGAAGTATCTGAGCGTTGATTTCTGGTCCATAGGGATGTTTATTCATTCACAGCTAAGACAAGTTTACATTCTCCCTGCGTGTTTTGTTCTGTTCTAATATTGGTAGAAGGTTAAGTATGCTTGGAATGTAAAGAATACAGACCTGGTCAGTTTCCCCCCTCGAAAGCTGGTTGTCTGTCCTTCAAATGGCTGTCATTGGTGGGCCTGGCCGATCATAAAACCAACGTAGATGCCCCCAGTTTTTGGATCAAGAAGCCCACAGAGTAATTTACACAGAATACAGAAACACAGAGTTGGAAGGGACCTCCCTGGGTAGGATTGGGGGGCACTCCCACAACCAGTAACTTGCTAAATATAAAATATGCTAAAAAGAACCACTTTGGTTCAGTGGTTAAGGCCCAAGCTAGAAACCAGGGGGTGGGGAATTCTAGTCCTGCCGTAGTCCTGAAAGATGGTAGTGTGACTTTGGGTCAGTCAACAGGAGTTGAGTGATACGTTTTTACTCGCCTTAGTCATAAAAGCCTGCTGGGTAATTTGGAGTCAATCACCAGGCGATTGTGAATTCTAGTCCCACTTTAACCATGAAAGTTAACTTTGGGCCAATCACCAGGAGACCAAGTGTTCTAGTCCCGCCTTAGGCATGAAAGCCGGCTGGCCTATCACCAGGACACTGGGAATTCTAGTCCCGTCTTAGCCATGAAATAGGCTGGGTGACATTGGGCCAATCACTAGGAGATGGAGGAGTTCTAGTCCTGCCTTAGCCATGAAAGCCGGCTGGGTGATGTTGGACCAATCATGAGGAGACGGGGAGTTCTAGTCCTGCATTAGCCATGAAAGCCGGCTGGGTGATGTTGGACCAATCACGAGGAGATGGGGAGTTCTAGTCCCGCCTTAGTCATGAAAGCCAGTTGGGTAACTTTGGGCCAATCACCAGGAGACCGAAAGTTCTAGTCCCATCTTAGCCATGAAAGCCAGCTGGGTGACTTTGAGCCAATCACCAAGACACTGGGAATTCTAGTCCAGTCTTAGCCAGGAAAGCCAGCTGGATTACTTTTGGCCAATCACCAGGAGATTGTGAGTTCTAGTCCCCCCCCCCCTTAGTTGTTGTAGGGAAAATAGGAGAAGGAAGGAAGCTCTGTTGGATAAATCTTGCCCCATTGAGTTACTTATCAAAATAATAAAGGCGGGATACAAATAAACGAATAAATAAAACGGCTAGAAGGCACTTGGGGATCTTCAGAAGGTCTTCAACTGATGACATTTGTTTGACCCAGCTGGGAATTCGATTGATTAGTGAGTCATTTCTCCAAAACTAAGCATTTAAGGATTAAGTGGGACCTCCCCACCCACCCCAGTGTCCACTCCCACCCCCCCAGACCTAATGTTCAAAGCAAAACGAATTGCCAGAGGGGAGATAAATTCCATCGCCAACCATTCACAGTGTGGATGCTGGAGGGACTTTGAAGAAAATAAAGGACTTATGTGTCGGGCTTTTATTTCGGAGAACAAAAAGGCCACTTTGTTAAAATTGCACCCAACAGTAAAGTTGAAGGGTCGGATAACTACATTCTCACACACACACACACACATACACACACACACAATTGATCAAATTCTCCACAAGAGAACCGAGTTTTGTTTGAGGCAATTTGCTCCTTTAAATGGCCTTTTTACCAACAGGGCTAAAGAACGCCAATCCGTTTAAATAAATGGTGGGGGTTTTTTTTCCCCCTCCGTCCCCTTCTTCCTCCCTTGGTCCTGTCACATTTCTGATGGGAACTTTTGACTACTTGGAGAAGAAGAGGCTTCCACGATCCAGGGCTTGCAAACCAGAAACTCGAAAATAAAAATTCAGAAGGGCTTCTGTTTTATTTTATTTCATTTTATTTATTACATTTTATTTATTTCATTTTATTTATTTCATCAAGCCTCTATTATATAACATGATTATGAATACATGAAATGGATACGAATAAAAGGGAAGATTAGGATAGGGCAGTAGGCACATTGGTGCGCTTATGCACCCCCCCAATTACAGACCTCTTAGGAATGGGGTGAGTAGACAGTCTAAAGTTAAAGTTTTGGGGGTTCAGGGAAGAAACCACAGAGTCAGGTAGAGCATTCCAGGCATTGACAACTCTTGCTGAAGTCGTATTTTCTGCAATCAAGTTTGGAGCAGTTTACCTTGAGTTTGTATCTATTGTGTGCTCATGTGTGGTTGCGGTTGAAGCTGAAGTAGTCATGGACAGGTAGGACATTGTAGCAGATAATTTTATGTACTACGCTTAGGTCAGGCTGAAGATGGTGCAGTTCTAAGTTGTTTAAGCCCAAAATTTCAAGTCTGGTGGCCTAAGGGATTCTGTTGCGAGCAGAGGAGTGGAGGACTCTTCCCATGAAATACCTCTGGACTCTTTCGATTGTATTAATGTCCGATATGCAGTGCGGGTTCCAGACAGATGAGCTGTATTCGAGGATTGGTCTAGCAAAGGTTTTGTATTCTCTGGCTAGCAGTACAATATTACCATAAAAGAAGCTACGCAAGATTAGGTTAACAACTCTTAATGCCTTTTTGGCAATGTGGGTCCTGGCACTTAAATCATTAGAGATGAATACTCCAAGGTCCTTGACAGAGTGAGGGTTGCCTATAAGACCTTGTATTTTGTGTTTTTTGCCACTTATCTATCCAGATAAGAGCATTTTTGGTTGAGATTTGAAGAAAGAGCATAAGAAGAGAGGAGTAGCGCTCTATGTTAAATTAACAATAAATGCTAAGCAAATATTTGTGGATGGAGGGAGGGAGGATTTTGATGGTGGAGGTAACAATGACTCATAAGCAGGTACTCCTGGTAGCAATCTATGCACCAAATAGTAAACAAGAGGACTTTTACAGTAAATTACATAAGAAACATAGCAGAGTTGGAGTATGAAAATATTTTTGTAGTGGGAGATTTTATAAACGCAATTGTCGATGCGAAACTAGATGATAAAACTGGGAAAGTGAATTTAAAAAGCGAGAAAAATGTTACCAAAGACTTTCTTCAAAATGGCTGAAGAATTTAGGCATCCAAGACACATCCTAAGGAAAATCAATATTCATTTTATTCAAATAGGCACATGACTTGGTCAAGGATAGATAGGATATGGATGTCAGCTGAATTGAAGGTAAACATGCAAGAATTGAATATAGAAACAAGTAACTGGGCAGGCCATAATCCAATAAAAGTGACACGGAAAGGACAAAAAAGAAAACTAAGATGGATGTTGAATCGATCAATATTAAAAGATAAAGAATTTATCCAATTCATGGGAAAAGAATTACCGTATTTTTCGGAGTACCTTTCTACCTCAAAAAGAGGGTGAAAATCTGGGTGCATCTTATATACTGAATACAGCCTTTTTGGCCTCCCGAAACCACACAACCCTTTGCAAAAATGGCCATGCATAGCCTTTAGGAGGCTTCCAGAGTGCTCCTGGGAGCTGGGGAGGGGAAAATGAGCAAAAAACAGGCCGTCTTTTCCCTCCCCCCCAGCCCCCAGAAGCACTCTGGAAGTCCCCTAAAGGTTATGCATGCCCTTCTATTGACAAAAAATGAGCCCGTTTTTGCCTCCCCCACCAGCCCCCAGGAGGACTCTACAAGCCTCCTAAAGGCTATGCATGCCCCTTTTTTTTGACAAAAAATGGGCCCATTTTCGCAAAAAAAAACCCGGGCTGTTTTTGGGAGGTCTGCAGAGTGCAAAACCTTTTTTTCTAATTTGCCTCTTCAAAATCTTGGTGCGTCTTATACTCCGGTGAGTCTTATACTCCGAAAAATATGGTGGACTTTTTTCTTCAAAGAGACTCCTTGAAGGATTAATGAACCCCTCATATGATAAGTTTATATCGGGAAGCATTGAACAAGGCACTGAATTTCTAATAGCTTTAATTTGCCGGATGTCAAAGAAAATCTGAATGTTGCCATATATGCTTATGATCTCATTCGGAGTTTGTTGCAGAACAGCTGGTATTTCTCACACAGGGCTGGGGAGGAGAGTCACATCTGTTTGGGTCTTTATTCAACAAAGTTTTTTTAAGTGGTCGCAATTTCCAGCTTCGTTTTAATCCAATCTGGCTGTTTGCGGGTAGACTAAACAAAAATATTCCTGTCCGTTGCAGATTCTCTTTTGCAAATCACTCTGATGAATGGGATCATTTCTTCTTTTTAAAAAAATAGTTTTTATTAAACATTTTAATCTTTAAAAACAGAAAGAAATGCACAGCAAGAAAAAATGAAAATCAAAACATACATGACAATATAAAGTAAATTATACAGCCTTATGTATCGGCTTTCATGTTTAGCCTTTATAGTTCTCCATTCTGCATTGCCTTCCTATTGATTTTTACCTTGTCCAATAATATAATAACAGTAGTACTAACACTTATAATAATATTAATTCTTCATATCACCATTATATTTACCTTTTCTATTTTCTGTTTCGGCTTCTGTTTTCTAGCCACTTATCAATTCTATTCCATATTTTATAGAAATCCAATTCTTCTGGGTTGATAATAGTGGTTTCCACACTCCGGGTTTTTAGCGCTCAAATTTTATTTCCTCTCTCGTTCAGCTTGCGAGTGCGATTCCCGAGGCATCCAGACTCTCCAATGTAACCGGTCAACCGGCCAGTGCATCTGCAGGGAAGGCGTCGAAGGTCCCCGTTGTGATAAATGCACCCGAGGCTACTCGGGAATCTTTCCAGACTGTGCTCCTTGCCATCAGTGTTTTGCTCTCTGGGACGTCATCGTCACCGAGTTGACCAATAGGACCCAGAGATTCCTGGAAAGAGCCAAAGTCCTGAAGATCACGGGGGTGAGCGGCCCCTACCGAGAGACCCTCAGCTCGGTGGAGGAGAAGCTGAATGAGATCAAAAGCATCATTGCTCAAAATCCCGCGACCGAGCCCCTCAAGAACATTGGGGACCTCTTCGAAGAAGCAGAGTAAGTAGGGCCCGCGGCATCCGGAACCCGTTGCCTGCTCTTAGTTCGGCCACGGAGAAGGGAGTCTGTTGTGGTTGTTGAATGATTTTAAGGAGAACTTGGTGAGAAAGAAGGAAGAAAGGGTGGAAACGGGGAGGCAGAGAATGTTTATCGCGAATTTGAATGGAAATGATAAGGGTCCATGAGAGATAGGAAAGAGACGTTCTTACGGACTCTGTATAATTTCTTATGTGACTAATCACACTTGGCCAAATAAAGTATTCTGTTCTGTTTTGTTCCATTCTGTTTCCATTCTGTTCTGGGTTTGGTTCCGGTTCCGGTTCCGTCCCTATTCTATTCCTATTTTCTATTCTATTCTATTCCTATTTTTTATTTTGGTTCTGTTCTGGTTCTGGTTCTGGTTCTGTTCTGTTTCCATCCTGTTCTGTTTCTATCCTGTTCTATTCTACTTTACTCTGTTTTGTTCTGTTTTGTTCTGTTCTGTTCTACTCTATTCTACTCTCGTCTCCTCTACTCTATTCTATTCACTATTCTATTCTACTTTACTCTACCCTATTCACTATTCTCTTCTACTCTGTTCTGCTCTGCTCTGCTCTACTCTATTCATTCTTCTCTTCTAATTCTTCTCTACTCTATTCACTCTTCTCTTCTACTCTGCTCTACTCTATTCACTCTTCTCTTCTCTTCTAATTCTACTCTACTCTACTCTACTCTATTCACTCTTCTCTTCTACTCTGCTCCATTCTACTCTATTCACTCTTCTCTTCTAATTCTACTCTACTCTATTCACTCTTCTCTTCTACTCTGCTCTACTCTACTCTATTCACTCTTCTCTTCTCTTCTCTTCTAATTCTACTCTGCTCACTCTTCTCTTCTACTCTGCTCCATTCTACTCTATTCACTCTTCTCTTCTACTCTGCTCTATTCTACTCTATTCACTCTTCTCTTCTAATTCTACTCTACTCACTCTTCTCTTCTACTCTGCTCCATTCTACTCTATTCACTCTTCTCTTCTACTCTGCTCTATTCTACTCTATTCACTCTTCTCTTCTAATTCTACTCTACTCACTCTTCTCTTCTACTCTGCTCCATTCTACTCTATTCACTCTTCTCTTCTAATTCTACTCTACTCACTCTTCTCTTCTACTCTGCTCCATTCT